CGAAGAGTCATCTACTCCAAGTTTTGAAGCAAGAGTGGGCGAAAATCCCACAATCTAAAATTGACGAGATGATTCTCCAAAGTATCAACGAACTCCTCGAAGCGAAAGGAAGCTCTACTAGATATCAATTAAATTATAAATATATCAATTCATGAGAATATGACTGAAAATTTTCATTTTTTCTGAAAAGGTGGTGTCTATTTACTTGTGACCACGCTGTGTATATTATAAGCATAAAAATGTCAAAATTCATTAATATGTAATTTGATTAAATAAATAAATGAATAATATACAAATATAGAGGGCGCTGCGCGTGTAACATACCTTCTACATCGATATTTCACGTGTCTAGTGTTCCGTAAGCTTTTTCTCAGCTGAAAAGTGTTCCGTGGCCAAAAAGGTTTGGGAAACACTGTTGTAGTGAATTTTGAAATATCTGTACACATTGTACAAACAACAACTAAAAGAACTCCCAAAAGTTCAAATGTTTCCTGTTACTGGCAACTTAGCCAATAGCTTTACAATCAACCTGAGCGTCAAAGTCTTCTATTTTCGATTTGTGACACCGAAATTTATAAGCTCACTTGTGCCCCCCAGTGACACAGCAGTATGTCTGTGGATTTACAACGCTAGAATCCGGGTTTTGATACCCGTGGTGGGTAGAGCACAGATAGCCCTTTGTGTAGCTTCGTGCTTAATTACAAACAAATAAACAAATAAAAAGCTCACTTGTATTAGGCCTAAGATTAGTTAAGCCTTTATTAAGTATACCTATATTCGATAAAGAGATGAATTAACACTGTAACTTGTGTACGTTTCTTGCCTTAGTTAATTATAGCTAAACTTTACCATACTTAATACTATACTCAAGTATAATAATATATATATTTACATACTCTTTTGATTTCATCAGCGCTGCTGGAAAAGGGAAACCTCAAACCCAGGTTGTTAAGTCGCGCCATCTTTCGGCCACTACCCCCTGATGTCACACTACCAAGACTACCATGGCTGTAAGACGTTCGTGGGCCTCCTACTGGATCACGTGGGTAACGACTCTCGTCATGATCCTGAAGTTTATACCATCGGGGTTGCTCGTCCAATATTTCATCTAAAATATTTCTTAATATTTAGAACTTTTAAGTAGTGAACTAAATTAATAACGATAATTTTATCTAAAAACATGATACATGAAACTTCATAACATAATAATGTATGTTAATTGTAATAAAATAAGAAACAATAATGATAAATTGCCATGGAAACTAATCCACTGTTGTTTTTGTAAAAGAAGGAATATTAAAATGTGTATAACACGATGCGGTCCGAGTTCCACCATTAAGCCTGTTCAAGATAAATTTATATTAACATAATGACATATTCGTATGATTTAAATGCCTAAGGCCGGCGACATATTCGAAAACCAGTAGACCTAACATGTTTTTATAAAAACGAATCAATTGCAGACGTTTTTCAAACTTTGTACTGTTACGACAGTGGAAGTCACGTGACCCTGGTAACACGTGATGAGTTTCTAGAAGGATCGGGGGAACATCACGAATAATCCAGTATTTGCTAGACGCCCTCTATTCCTGTATATGAGCGCGCTAGATAAAGTGAGACAATTAATCGGAACTGGAATAGCAGACAGAGAGATTGAAGATATAGACAGATAGACGAGTCAAGCTGTAAGTAAAGTGTGTAAATCATTGTGAATTATATCGTGTGTTTAAGTTAAAGTGACTGTGGAAATTAAGTGTATTGCAAAGTTGTATTGAGAAAGAATAAACTATTTTATTTTAAGAAAGAACTTGTATAGCTGAAGTTCTTCGGAAAGAATTTTTACGGGTCATTAACAAACGAACACAGAGGCGTAACAGTATTTAATGCTTGGAAATACAATTTAGACATTATTAAAATAAGTTCGAATTTGGAGATATACGAAAATAGCATTTCAGATCTTTTGTTCCCCTTCGAAAAAAAAATCAACAATATCTACTGTAGTTGTTTTTTTTAATATATTTATATGGCAGATCATGGAAATTATACAAAACAATTTATTTTAATACTGTTACGTCTCTGGCCGTTTGTTAATTTCCCGTAAAATTTTTTTCCGAGAAACTTCGGCGATACAAGTACTTTCTTAACTAAAACTAGTTTATTCTTTCTCGTTACAACGCTTGTAATACACTTAATTTCCACAGTCAATTTAACTTAAACACGCGCTATAATTCACAACGATTCACGCACTTTACTTACGGTCACTACTGCTCGTTTGACTTAATTGTCTGTCTCTATATCTCTCTCTATCTGCAATTATTATCTCCGTTTTATTTGCCGGACTTATATACTAAAAAAGAGGGCGTCTAGCAAACACTGGGACATTCGTGAGGTTCACCGATCCTTCTAGAATCTCATCGCGTGTTACCAGCGTCACGTGACTTCCACTGTCGTAACAATACTATCAATTTATTGGCATTTATTAATTAAACTAGTGTTCAGATCTCAGTGAGTAATATAAAGAAAATACGCTGATTTTGTTTTTGTACTCTGTGTATAAAATAGTAACACACATATATATATATATATTAACTAGTGAGAATAAAAAAACTAAAAAGAAAAAAAGATAAAATACAGGTTGTAAAACATATAATAAAGCTTCTTAGGGTTAACCTGACAAGTCCAAAATGATTTCTCCCAGAAACTCGTTTGGCCGGTAGATGTCGTAATTCCAAACGCTGATTTCTAAAAACTTATTAGGCAGATCTTCTGACGGAATATTCGGGTACACCAACGTCTGTTTCCACTCTGGACTGCTGCATCTGGAGAAGTAGCGAGTTCGCCTCTGGTTTTCCATGCTACAAAGGTCAGCAACTTGATCGTTATTAAGGTAAACACAATAATTATGATATTCCTGAATAACAACTTAAACATGCCTTGTTTGTTTGTTTTTTCAATCAATTTTTTGTTTTGAAAATTGTTATTGTTCCTGTCTTTTAATTTATACAGATGTATTTGCCTAAATTAGTTATGTAAGTTTTCATTGTACACACTCACACATTCATACACGAAGCTATGTAAATAAACATTTTCAAACTAACAGTTATGGAGAGTTGTAAGGAACTTAAAGAAAATGAGGCTTAGTTAAAGATGGAAGAAAATTAAACATTGTGAAAGAAAACACACTTAGCTAGGACTAGCATATCACCCCATGTTATCAGCAATTCATTTTCCAAATTTCACTAGTTAATCTAATACTATTGGTGCGTCAGCGAGGTCACGTGACTAGTGTCACGCCACGTTTCTAGAACTATCCTGTTCCTTCGGGAGTGCTCTAGCATTTGCTAGATTGGGGGTGGCTGGTATATATAAGATGGTCACGTCGTGACGTGACAATGTGTGTGTAGGTAATGAGTAATTGAACTGCAGTCAGAGAGAGACGTATTGTTGAAGTAGAGCTCGTGAGACGTGAACTATAGTTTGTTATAGCGCGACTGTTGAAGTTGAGTGTATCGTAAAGTTGTATTCGGAAAGAATAAACCAGTTTTATTTAAGAAAGGACTTGTGTCGCTAATGTTTCGTCGGAATGAATTTACGGAAAATCAATTAACGAACGGAGACGTAACACTATCATAGTATCAAAACCAGTTGAAGAAAAACACTAACCCTAATAATCTTAGTGTAATTCTTATTTTAACTTATGTAGTAACTACTTACCACCTGATGGGGAGGAGATAGCACTTAACAAAAGGGTCGGGAAGGCCGCTGTTGTCTCTAGCTGTCACCAGGTTGCGTGCTCGGACTATTGTTATGTACAGAATGCTTGCTTTGGAGTCGTAGCATATTTGAAGCTGAAAACAACACATATAATATTGTAATCGTACGTTTTCTAAGATAAAACAAACATGACGATCACGTATGAACGACCTGCTTATCTGAGTAATAAATAGTTTTAATCTGACTTTCTATAGCACAGGTTTTTGTTTTTAGAAAGACCAACCACAATTGTAGAGAACAAGAATTTTAGCCTTGTCTTTATAGGTAGAATGAATGTAGAGAATACCAAAAGTTTCTAACACATGACAAAATAACGTTTTTTATATAGCAGTCTTTGATTCTGTTGGTTTGAGTTCAGTCTTTTTATTTTCAATCCAACTCAATTTTATTCGTATAATATATAATACAATATGTTCTAAATAAGTTAATTTTTTAACTATAATCAATCCAGTGTATGCAAATGTGACACGAAAAATAAAATGTTTGTATAAAGCGCATTTTCTCTAGTAAGAAATAAGTATTAATAATTTAAAAGTGAAAATAAATACATTAATAAATATATAAAAAAATGATAATTGTTATTAGTAACTAACTCACAATAATATTGTGTTATTTTTATTTTTCAATTAACTATAAAAATAGCTAAGCAAATTATAAAATCAAAAGATAGTTTTGAAACAAACATTAATTTTTAAAAGAGTTCTTTCATATTATTTGATCTTGTATTCCAAATGTTTACCCCTAAACAAATTTGTGAACACTGACCTACTGATTTTTTTAAAAAAAGTGGTATCTGTAAATTATAATTAATTCTTATATTATGACAATGGATGTCCTTGTTATTTTTAGAAAAAGGGTTTGGAAACTGGGTATATTAATTAATTCAAATTTTATCCCAAATATAGAACTACCCACTAAATAATTATTTATTTGTATAAATATTTAATATTGAGTATTTATGAAATAATCTTAATCTAATAATCCAAACAGTGGATATAGTTAACTTAAATTGTTCATAACGCACAACGGTTAGGTCGTAGGCCCTTTATCACTTTGAAATTTATCATGACGATTGTCTTGATCAAAAACCAACTATGTCAAAACTTGAACTAGCGCCAGGGGTTAAGTGGATGTGGTAGAGGGTTCCTCAAATTCATTTGCTTCCCAGTTCTTACTCCTATTTGTTTTATACCAAAACCTAAATTATGATGTTTCTTTCGTATTAAAAGTCATAATAATTCCACATTTGTTGTAAGTTGAAAACTAGTAAGGTCACAGAAAGACCTCAGAAAGACGATATTTTTAGAAGTCTGTATTTAGTGGCGTGATTTTCTTTGAAGATCATAAAACCATCGACTTTTTTGGTATATACAGAGAAATGTAAAGTAATATGTGGACCTGGATTTCTCCCTCCACTAGAGATGCTTCTGTGACAGGGATTAGACGTAAAAAATCCGGGATTTATCCGATTTTGGTGAGACTTATAAAGAAGGTATGACGATTATAATTTACAATTTCCAAATCAGACAAGAATTGACCGAGTTATGACTGGTAATAACATCAGCCTTCTTCTTCTTCTTCGCCCGTCGTTTCATCTGTTTTACAGGTCAGAGTTCAATATATTTTCAGCAGATAACTCCAAGCCCTGCTGACCGTGAATGGAACTTTTCTACTCTTCGGCATGTCATCATCAGTCATCAGTATTCTCTTGAGAACCTGCATGTGTAAGGTTCCGAGATGTTGGACTTGTAATCTGTGTAGCTTCTGTGGATGATCACAGTAAAAGATGTTGTGGCGGCACTCTAAAATAGGTTTAATGCTGACTAGAACAGTAGTGATAGTAGTAGTAGTAGCCTTCCGCTAGACCATAAGATCAAAAAAGGGTCTCTAACTTCAAACAGACAATGAAGAAAGGTCACATAATTTGACTTGACAAAAAGAGAGAAACGAGATAATCAATTAGTGTGTGTGAACGTTGCTGGTAAGGTGGTGTGGCCACTCCACACCTTATCTCTTGGACTGCTCATGACTCCAGACTGAAAGACGTTACCACAATATGGATTGCATGTTTGAATAGGGCAGATTCCAAACATTCCAATGGTGTATGTAACATCTCCAAGAAACAATTGCTGGAATTTCTTATTCCTTGCCCTTCCGCCTCTGGTTGAGGAAGAGATCCTATGAAGCCCCCAGTGGCTCAGTAGTAACTCTGTAGGTTTATAACATTTACAACCAGTTCAATACTCGTGGTTAGCACATTATGTACATTAACAAACAAACAAAAGATATCGTGTTAGTAACAAAGTTCTTACCTAGAGATGAATCTTACAGCTTGTTATCTTCCAAGAAAACACTTTGACCTATAACCTTCTAAGGGACAATTGGATCTGTGAACTTTTGAGGGATACTTAGATCCATGACTTTTTAAAGCACATACTTTGTTTTCTGACTGACCTACTAAGGAATACTTTGTTATGCGACTTTCTAAAGGACATACTTTGACTTTTGACCTTCTAAGAAATACTTTGACCTGCAACCTTCTGTGAGAAATATTTTGATATTGGAACTTCTATGGGATAAAGGTCAATGAATTAAATGGACAGGTAAAGTTTGGTTAATTAGTATAGTGAGCATTAAACAAATTTTTTTTAATTTTCAAAAATTCATTTCAGCGACATTTAGATTGCTCCTAAGTTAAATCTTTAACCAAACGATTGAGAACATAAATTTGTGAATGTAGCTATAACACATTAAGTATGAAATTGCATGAAATTATTATATGTACAACTAATTCCAACAAGCAAAATGCATAGACAAAAAAAAAGCACTATTTTAGTATTAACACTGAGTACTCACTCACCTGAATTTCGCCGGTGATTTGATCTGCTCGAAACTTGTACTATAATGAAAAAAATTCTGTGTGTCAGTAATTCTATTCCCGGCAATCTTGTCGTATCTAATAAATTAGCCAGCAAAGAATCCGCACATTTTAACTGGAGGTATATAAACCAATAGAAACACTAACGACACAGACCAACAAGGTAAGAATCTGTTTTACGGTTAACAATATACTGAACAAATAGCTTTTTTTTGTTAAAGACTGTGACACTGGTACCGTGGGCAGAAGGTACAACGTAATGGCACAATTGCATAAAATATCTAATTTAAGCAAAATAGTTTGTATCCTTTTTGTATTGCCATCATTCCAACATTTGATTCTGCCCACAGTAATTACCAAAGTCTTTCTTACCTTGTTGCTCTCACTAAGGCTGGTGGACTTAGGATTGGGATATTGGGAACTGGTCCAGATGGGAGTGGGATGATGGTTGCAAGCAGAGTTGGTTGAATTTCCAAGTCGTGGATTAGAGGGTGGCGTTCTTTCTGGGGCACACTGTAGTTGGGAAGTTAACAGGCATGGTTCATAGCCCTCTGATCCAGGACGGGTGCTACAGTTGGAGCTAGCAACGTCTACAGGGGAGGAGGGGAATGACCATAAAATCAGTTTCTATACCTCGACGTGTAATGAGAGGAAACATCTATTTTGAGTTGTCTTTTTTTTTTCTCTCTAATATTTATTTTACGCAAAAAATCAAGTTAGCTGAGCAGGCCATAATAAATTAGTGATAGTTAAATTTCAGAGGTGGCGAAATTAATAGCATTTATTTGGAGGTGGCGAAATTGGAAAAGAAACAAAAAACATTTAACCTATTCCTATTTTCAGTTTTAATTCTTTAGCGGTTCGTAACAAAACACGATCAAAAGTCTCGTAATTATTTGTTTATTGTTAATTCATTTTATACTGGAACAGGAAAGAAGTTGAAATTGGACAACAATGAATACGGGCATGTCACAAACTTATTATTGCCTCTTCATCTTCTTGTGTAAGAAACGTAGCTCCCTCTACTGGTGCGATATCAGTGAAAAATGAGGCAGAATTATTTTTGTTTTTGAAATTACCGTGTACAAACTTTATTTTCTTCGGTAGCTGAATCTAAACTTGAAATGTCAATTATTTTGTTAAATTGACTTTCATGAATTGGTTCGTTCACAACTAAATAACGAAAGCACAAAGCAACGTTTCTAATTGGTATTAACCCTAATCAAAGAAAACAAAACATTTTAATATCTACCAGTTAAACATTGAAATAAAATATTCCATGAATACATAGATGCTAGTAGTGAGATTTGCATAAAAAATAAGGAAGCATTTAATAATTTTGTAAACATTTTTGGGGACGGGCTTTATCATTACAGTTTTTTATGACAAACAAATTAATACTCATCGCTCAAATAACATAAAGAAAACTGGTTGAAATATTAAGATTCTATGAAGCAGATTCTTAAAACTGGTGCGATGATACTATTCCAAAATTTGGTTATCCATAAAACGTTAAAACGATTTCTCTCCTAAATACAAGGTAAAGGTTAAACAATAACAACAACGATATCCCTCTCCTCCCTACAAATTGCTCTGAATGTTCAAATAATTGCCAGCGTTTTAGGTTTATGTTAGTAATTTGTTCATCATCGACCAAAGTATTTAAATATTGCTGGGTAGTTATTCTGGAAGTTTTTTCTTGTGCTAAATGTATTTTAATCGTGCTTCACAAATCTGAAAATGACTTATTTTAAACTAAATTTCTTTTTAAATTAACTCGTAACTTGTTTTTCAAATAAACATTCACAGAAGATGACGCTGCAATAAATTTTATATTGTAATGCTTAAGCTTATTGAATGTTTCCTTATAAATGGTATCTCGGAGGGAAGGTGTTCTACCAACCAGCTAATATAATGGGGACTCTCATAAGCAAGGCCCGGCATGGCTACACCAAACATGCTCGCCCTTTCAGCCGTGGGGGCG